AACCTCAATTTTCTCTTCATTCCTTCTCAGGTGTGTTGTTTTCCACTTCCCAGCTGCATAAATTGCTCTGATATAGGACACAAGAAACCCTACAAGAAACCTTTCCCTACAAGAAATCCTACAAGAAACCCTTCCATACAAGAAATCCTAAAGAAATCTTTCTCTAGAAGAAATCCTACAAGAAATCCTGTAAGAAATCCTACAAGAAATCTTTCCTCCACAAGAAATCCTGTAAGAAATCCTGCAATAAATCTTTCCCCCACAAGAAATCCTACAAGAAACTTTTCCCCCCAAAGAAATCCTACAAGAAATCCTGTAAAAAATCCTACAATAAATCTTTCACTATAAGAAATCCCACAAGAAATCTTTTCCCCACAAGAAATCCTACAAGAAATCTTTCCCTAGAAGAAATTCCACAAGAAATCCTGTAAGAAATCCTACAAGGAACCTTTTCCTACAAGAAATCCTGTAAAAAATCCTAAAAGAAATCTTTCAAAAGAAATCCTACAAGAAATCCTGTAAGAAATCCTACAAGAAATCCTACCCTATTAAAAATCCTATAAGAAATCCTACAACAAACCTTTCACTGTAAGAAATCCTACAAGAAATCCAGGACAGGTTTGTCCTGGCTGAGAGAACCTCACACAAACGTGATCTGTGTCTCCTGGAGCCACAAAATAATCCCACAAAAAGGGATTATCCATAGGGATAATCCATAGGGACAGCTTGATTCCCAAACTGGCAGCTGAGCTGCAGGGACAGGAAGAGAATTTGCCCCAGACATGGATTTGGCACACATTTTCTCTTGGAGAAGAGGGGAAAAGCACAATTTTCCTCATTTTTCCTCCAAGTGGGCCAGGAATGGGGGAAAGGGGCCAGTGTTTCCCAAGAACACGGAAACTATGCTCCAGAGCCCATCCCTGGGTGGGATCCTGGCATTCCTGCACATCCCTGGGTGGGATCCTGGGAATCCTGAAAATCCCTGTGTAGGATTCTGGCATTCCTGAACCCATCCCTGGGTGGGATCCTGGCATTCCTGAACCCATCCCTGGGTGGGATCCTGGGATTCCTGCACATCCCTGGGTGGGATCCTGGCATTCCTGAACCCATCCCTGGGTGGGATCCTGGCATTCCTGCACATCCCTGGGTGGGATCCCGGGAATCCTGCACATCCCTGGGTGGGATCCTGGCATTCCTGCATATCCCTGGGTGGAATCCTGGGAATCCTGCACATCCCTGGGTGGGATTCCAGGATTCCTGCACATCCCTGGGTGGGATTCTGAGAATCCTGCACATCCCTGGGTGGGATCCTGGCATTCCTGCACATCCCTGGGTGGGATCCTGGGAATCCTGCACATCCCTGGGTGGGATCCCGGGAATCCTGCACATCCCTGGGTGGGATCCCGGGAATCCTGCACATCCCTGGGTGGGATCCTGGGAATCCTGCACATCCCTGGGTGGGATCCTGGGAATCCTGCACATCCCTGGGTGGGAATCCTGCACATGCCTGGGTGCTGAAGGTCAGTGCTGAGCTCCAGGATGGAGCCAGGCTAACGGGAACACAGGGAGCACCTGGAGTCCTATTTTTCCCCAGAAATCCAGAAACACAGGAGCTGTGAACTCATTTTGCTTCCCAGCAATTTTATTACTTTCCTTAATTGCTTTGCTCAGCCTCTGATGATTGCAGGAGCTGAAAACTCCTTTTTAACCCATTAACCAGTTGTGTCTCCAACTGGAGCAGTAATTAGGGAAAAGCTGATCCTTTTCCCAATTCCTCACATCCACATTTAGATCCCAGCAGCTGCCTGACCCCAACCTTTCTTTTCCAGGCTCTTTTTCCCAGTTATTTTCTCACTCAACATTCCCAGAATCTCAAAAAACTAAAAAGGATTGTCTGTAACTTTGTGTTTTTCCTTGTAAAAATGTGATTTCACTTCCTCATCATTTTGCCTTTCACTTCAGCCCAGGAATTTCCTTCAAGCCTAATAAAAACTCTCTTCAAGGAAAGCTGCACTTATCATGATCAAATTAATGGAGCTTAGGAACACAGATTTTAATTCAAACTGCTCATGCAAGTTTGTAAAAATCTGAAGGATTATCAACTGTCAATTCTTATACAGATTATTTTTTTTCAGAGTGAAAAGTACACAAATTTCAGTGAAAACACAGCACCAAAAACTAGAAAATGTGCATTAACCACAACATGAATTTGGAGAAGTCACCAAAACAATCTTTCCCCAGGACTGAAGGTTCTAAAACAATTACCTTGTTTATTATAGCTCGAGCTTCAGTGGCAAAATCCCGAGAACACACTTCCAAGTGGAATATTTTCCCACAGTTTGAGACACAGGCTCCTAAAAGCTGACAGCAGAAAGACAATTGGGAAAATGTGGGGGGAAAAAAGTGCAAATAATAATAAAAAAAAGGTGTAAATAATCCAAAATAAAAGGTAAATTTACTGAGGGTAACTCAGGTATTAATTAATTGATCAGTGAATATTGAATTGCTGCATTCCATGAGGTTTTTGGGGGAAATTTGGGGATTTACTCACTGTGAGAGCTTGCAAAGCCACGTGGGGAACTTTGTGATTCATTCTCTTCATGATGGCTTTAAGGCAATCCTTGGCTCTGCAAAGGAACAAGAAAATTAAAGATAAATGGGAGTGAGGAATGAGCCTAAACCCCCAGCAGAACTGAGCCTGTTGAGCAAAAATGGCACCAAAACTGAGCCCAGTGAATGAAAATGGCACTAAAACTGAACTTATTGAGTGAAAATATCACCAAAACTGAGCACAGTGAACAAAAATGGCACTAAAACTGAGCCCAGTGAACAAAAATGGCACCAAACCTGAACTTACTGAGTAAAAATGTCACCAAACCTGAGCCTGTTGAAAAAAAAGTCTCCAAACCTGAACTTATTGAGTGAAAATGTCACCAAACCTGAATTTATTGAGGAAAAATGCCACCAAACCTGAACTTACTGAGTGAAAATGTCATCACACCTGAATTTATTGAACAAAAATGTCACCAAACCTGAACCTATTGAGTGAAAATGTCACCAAAACTGAGCATAGTGAAGAAAAATGTCACCAAACCTGAACTTACTGAGCAAAAATGCCACCAAACCTGAACTTATTGAACAAAAATGTCACCAAACCTGAATTTATTGAGCAAAAATGTCACCACACTTGACTCTCTCAGGGCTGGGCAGAGATTTACCCACTGAGCAGTTTGTTTGTCCTCAGCTGGGTGTTGGATTGGAAGAAATTCCCTTTTTTTGCCCTGGCATTCCATATCCATTCCCAAAAAGCTGCTGCCAGGCCAGGAAAGGAAGTGACTGCATGACAATGAAGGAAATGTCCCCAGAAAAAAAGAGATGATTCAATAAATGGTTATTTTAGTGGCCATTGGATTTAATTCCCAGCTCTTGGATCTCCTTTTCCACAGCCTGAGGACACAAAGATATTTCTAATTTGTTTCAGCATAATCTGGGGTGAGCAGAGAATAATAAATAACATTTTAAAAGCTTCTGCTGAGGCTTTTCCACACTTTAAATGAGCATTAATGGCTCAGGCACATCAAAGGCTTCATTAACACTGATATTTGGAACGTTTAAAAACATGAAATCCTAAAAAAAAAAAAAAAAGCTGATGTAGCATTTAAAAAATAATATCCCAGCCAGATACTTGAGCTGCTGGAATAGCAAAGCACAGAAAAGCCTCTGTGCCAGAAAAATACACTTAGCCCTAATATTTTCATCTTATTTCACGTACAAATCATGCAAAAAAGTCAACTCAGTTCTTTTAAATTGCATTTTTTATTCAGGGTAGGCAACAATCTTCATTATTTTCAAGGGAAGGAGGGAAGAAAATGACACAAAACAGAATTGAAATATGCCAGCAGCAGCGGCATTTAAAATTCAGAATTTAGGATTTTATTTGCTATATATTTAGATTTAATTATGCATTTTATATACTTCTATTTCAGCATATGTCGTTTTTATTTTTTTTTTTTAATCAATGAATTTTTTACAACATCCCTTCCTCCAAAACCAGATTTAAAACAGTTCACTCCACAAAAGTCTTGTGGCACTAAAAAAATTGATTTGTAATAAAGGACTGAAAGGATATTTTTTCACCTTCAGGACTAAAGATTCCCAGATTGAAGAGATTTGCTGTTATTCCTTGTGGCAGGTAATCAATGAAAACCAAACCAAAACACTCAAAAAAAAAACTCCTCAATTTTAATGTTAAAATAGAACTGCTGGAAATTCTGAATCACTTAAGAATTCTCACTAATTGAGGATTAATTCCAAATTTAAAAGATGTTATCACTCAAAAATTCAGCAAATACTTTTGGCCACTACAGAATCACTCAAATTCCATTTATGTTGCACTCAGGCTGAACTGATTCCAAATGATTTTGTGTTTTGATCCTTATTTTTTCCCTTTTCTCTCCCATTCTTCCTAACAACCAAAACCAGACAAATATCATAAAAAGCCCCTGGTCCTTGCCAGGTATTTTTCTGCACAAAAATTGTTTCACTTTCTCCTCCTGGCACAGACACTTCCCCAAATTTATGCCAGCTCATTAAATATGAAGAATTTGGGTGTGCTGTTGAAAACTCCAGGAAAAAACTGGAATGTGCTCAGCACATACAAATTGCTCTGCTCCAAATCCCATTGGAATGTTCCTTTCCAAGGATTTCCAAGCCAACTCCGTGAATTTGGGGGATTGAGCATTTTGAGATGTGTTCTCTGGGACATTTTCCTCCTCACAGCAGCACAGAATTCCCTGGAATTCCCACAGAATTCCCTGAGGTTCAGCTTACCCATTGGGAGTGCTTCCAACTTTGTCACAAATATCCATGATGAGCCCCCAGTCCTCGCTGGTGTTGTATTCATTTGTAGCTTTTTCTGGAAAGAAAAAAAAAAAAAGATTTATCAAGTGTTTTATTTATTCAGTTCAGATTCTGTCAATAGAATGTATCTTTAATTAATATTTCATGGATTCGTGGAATTATTTAAAGCTCATCTTGGTCCAGTGGGCAGGGACACTCATTCTATAGATTAATTAATAAGGTTTAATAGTATTTATTTGTGCTTTTCAGTTTTTTATTAGCCAGGTTATTTAAATCCCATGTAAATACTGCAGTTTGAGTTATTAAACAGCAAATTAAATATTTTATTGCATTTGCTGCTTCAGGATTAAGTTTTAACCAACTAAATTCTCAGCTTTAAACCAACTCAAATCTAAGCAAATAAAATCTTTCTGCTCAGCAGAAAGATTTCCACAGAGGGAACACAAACACAGCACCCACCAATGTTCCAAATCCCTTTTGTTACAGCCAGTGGAAATTAAAAGATGGAAATTTAGAATTAAATTAAAATGGAAATTTAGAATTAAATAAAAATGGAAATTTAGAATTAAATTAAAATGGATTTTTTAAAAAGATGGAAATTTAGAATTTTGGCCATAATTTATCTTCACAAACTGGTATATTTACTCAGAAGTAAATATTATTTTGAAACTGTAAACCTTCAAAATTTACCCCAAAAATGATAGAATTGCTAAATTTTCTTTTAAGTGCATCAATATTTTAGGACATGAACAACAAAATCATGGATGTTGTGGAAAATAAATGAGTGCCCACAATATTAAACATTAAAAAAAAAATTAAAAAAAAAGGAAAATCAAGCCAAATCAACCTCTGGAAGCTGCAGATTCCCTGGATACACAATCCCTAAGTAGTGAAGAGATTCCCAAGGATCCACTGAAGTTTTCCTGAGCCCTGAGTGGAAATCCCAACGCTTCCACTGGCAACAGGAAGGTTTGATGTTTACAGGCTTCACCAGGAAGTTTTCACCTCAGAATTACAGATTTTGGCTGGAAAAGCATTCCAAGGTCATCAAATCCCAGCTGTGCCCGATCCCACCGTGTCCCCAGCCCTGAGTGCCACCTCCAGGAATTCCCTGGACACCTCCAGGGATGGGCACTGCAAACCTCCCTGGGCACTTCCAAGGCCTGAGCGCCCTTTCCATGGGGAAATTACTGCTGCTGTCCCCCCTGAGGCCGTTCCCCCTCCTCCTGTCCCTGGGATAAGATCCCAAATCCCCTCCCAGCTGTCCCCTCCTGGCAGGGAATTGTGCAGAGCTCCTTTTTTCCCGCTGATCCCTCACTCCACACCTTCCCCATCCCAAAGCTCGGTGCTGCTCCCTCCCAGCTCCCAGGACATTTTGTCCCTGAGCCAGCACATTCCCACAGGGAGCAAAGTCCCTGCTCCTGGATCCACACCATCCTGGGAGCAGCCGTGGAGATCCAAACTCCGTCCTTGCCCAAGGATCTCACGGATCTGGAAGTTTCCCTCCCTGCCAGCGTGACAAAACGAACAGCAGCTGCTCTCCTCCTTCCCAGGAACAATCCTGAGGGATAACTCCTTCCCAGATGCTGAGACTTGGACATGGCAGAAGAAACAGATGTGGGAGGAAGAATTTTCCGTGATTTTTTTCCCGCTCAGGGGGAACCTAACCTTCAAAGCCATGGAATGATTTGTCCTCTGCAGCCCTCCAGTTAATGAAGGAACATTAGACTTGAGCTGGCTTTTGTAGAAATAATGGGAAAAGCAAAATGTGCTCCTTGGGGTATTTTTATGAAGAATTCCAAGTGCAAGGAATCGCTTTTCCCTCGGTGAGCTCCCTGAGCTGATTTGCTGTTCAATCCAGGAGAGGGGAGAGCACTCAGAGGAGCAGCTGGGAATTGTTTGCTGCTCCCACTGCCAAAAGGAGAAATGCCTGGAGAGCTCCTGCTTCAAAGCACTGGCACAGCCCTCCCAGGAAAGGTGGGAATGCTTTGCAACTGAGGGAAAAAAATTCAGGATCATCCCTCTACGCCACAAACCCTGAATGTCATGGCATTACTCACTGGGTGGGATCTGGATCCCAATCCAGCCCTGCCACGGGCAGGGACAGCTCCCAATATCCCAGGGTGTTCCAGCCTGGCCTTGGGCACTTCCAGGGATTCAGGGACAGCCACAGCTGCTCTGGGAATTCCCAATTCCCAACATCCCATCCATCCCTGCCCTCTGGCACTGGGAGCCATTCCCTGTGTTCTGTCCCTCCATCCCTTGTCCCCAGTCCCTCTCCAGCTCTCCTGGAGCCCCTTCAGGCCCTGCAAGGGGCTCGGAGCTCTCCCTGGATCCTTCCCTTCTCCAGGGGAACATTCCCAGCTCTCCCTGCATCCTTCCCTTCTCCAGGGGAACATTCCCAGCTCTCCCTGGATCCTTCCCTTCTCCAGGGGAACATTCCCAGCTCTCCCTGCATCCTTCCCTTCTCCAGGGGAACATTCCCAGCTCTCCCAGCCTTTCCAGCCCCTAGCCAAGTTGACTATTGCATTATTTCTTTTCTCTTTTTTCACCAGGAGGGATGGGCAATACAATGACACCAAAAACCAGGGAATAACCCACACTGATCCATGTGGGAATGCTCAAAGCCTCCCTGCTCCCACCATTCCAAAGCCCAGCTCCTCAGCCCAGCTCCCATGACCTTCAAACTTCCAAAACATTTTATTACTTCAGCCCTCAATTCCCTTGGGACAGGCTCACAGAGTAAATCTGGGTTAAAAAAACAGAAATGTACTAAAATACAACATTGTTTCTCCACCTGTGTCACTTTCTACGGCAGAAACAGAAAATGAGCACTGATTTCATAAAAAAATCACTACTCAGGCACTTCCAGCACAGAAGGTTTTGTGCTAAACCAGTGCTTGGTTATTTTTTTGGTGACTGTCATCACTAGAATCAGAATTTCCTTGACTGCTTTACCCATGCAGTGAAATAAACCCTTGTCTGCACAGCAATATTTCGGATTTTACACAACTTTTCCCAGCGAGAAGTAAATCTAGAAGAAATGGAGGGCTCCTCCAAGGGCTGTTTACCAGATGGAGCAGGAAGATGTGGATGAAAGGCAGAGGTTTTAATCCCACACACCTTCCTTTGCAGAGCCTAATTAGAGAATTCCAGCCTGGATTTAATTAAAGATCACAGCCAGGATGGACCTGCAGTCACAAGGCAGCCCTACCTGTAAGGATCCCTACTCATGGTATTATTATATCCTAAAAAATTGGGTTAAAAGAAATTCTTCAAATAACTTTTTGCAATATAAATCCAGTTCACTGAAAAAGCTTTTTAAAATGCAGTTTTTGCTTTTAAAGCGAGTGGTTTGTTTGGTTGAGGCCAATAATCTGAAAAGGAAATAATTTCATTTATCTGTCAAGACAAACCCCAAAAAGATTTGAGAGGGATTAACAGAGATTATATTCCAGAGAAATGGAAACACCAAGATGAAAATTAACAACTCTTAATTTATGTATAATATATAAATTATATTAAATTATAAATTTGTGCTTATTATATAAAATATCTTTCATAACACAAAGAAAACAAGTATCAGTGAGGCTGTGGTATATTATTATACCACTAATATAATTAATATAATATAATATAATATAATATAATATAATATAATATAATATAATATAAAAAATACTCAAGGCAGGGTGAAGGAGCAGAGCAAAAATAATCTGAAAAAATGTGAAAGAAACCTCATAAAAATGCAGGTTCAGAATTCAGGAATTTTAAGCAGTCAGATCAAAGACTGGAAAATATTGTTCAAGAATAATAATAAATAAAATATTGTTCAAGCAACAGCAAGAAAAAAAAAATAGAATTAGCTTTTCTCCAAATATTAATATTTGCAAGATTTTAGCCTAAATGTTGAAGACAAGAATTATTATGGACTGAGAAGTAAAAGGAACATTAAGGAAAAAATAAAAAAATAAAAAAATAAAAAAATACTAATAATACTAATAATACTAATAATAATACTAATAATAATTAAATAAATAAATTCTAGAAAAATAAGGAAAGAAATAAAACATAAGGGAAATGTCAGCCCTTGAGGGTCGGAAAAGGCACCAAACTTCCAAGCTCAGCACCTCCCCAGAACACCCACATGTGATTATCTGATATTTTGCATGGTCTAATTTGCAACAGAATAATAATTTCTTTAAAGCTTCTACTGACAAAGTTTTTCTGGCAAGGGACTTTAAGATTTAGCCCAAATAATTCAAGTTTCTAGTCTGTTGTACTTGCTAAATTTTAGTAAGTGATAATAACAAATTATAAATAATCAATATTAAGATATTAAAGAAGAAATATGCTGAATAAAGTTTAAGAAACTGGAAGCAAACAGAGTGCCACTTTTGAAGCTGTGGAGTCTGGGAATCCTTGAAGCATTTAGGTTTGTTAAAGAATCCTGCAGAGTTCAAAAAAAAATCCACTTGTACAAATACACCAGTTAGAGCCATGTGAAATATGAGTGGGGTCAAACAGCAAACTGCAGCAGGGAACTGAAATTAGAAATAAAATAATAAATAAGTAAAAAAGCAAATAAGAAACCAGCTCAACTTATACTGCAAACAAAACAGAGATTGTGTGGCAACAAGAGAACTCAACCTCTTCCTTTTTGGCCGTGACAAAAATGCCAGGAATGTTGAATTCTTCTCTTTGCTACGATCCCAACAAGAAAGCTGAGCCTGCTGTCTCGCCTATTTCATTTTTGCAGTGCTTGGAATGGGTTTTTTCACTCAGAACAGACGTTGTGTAACAAAAAAGTGCCACAGAGCACGAGTGTAAGAAAGCACAAGTCAGGGCAGGACACAAAAGAAAACAACTGAGTCACCGTCTTCACTGCAACTCCAGGCAGGTTTTGTAATCACTGAATCACAGAATATCCTGAGCTGGAAAAGATCCAGAAGGATCATCCAGTCCAACTCCTGGCCCTGCACAGACAGCCCAACACTCCCATCACGTGTGCTTCCAGGGAAGCTACTGGGAAGCTGGAAGAAATCACCAATAAAA